TCAAAGAAACATTCTCTAGTTTCCAACGGCTAGATTTGGAAATACCAGTTTGTGCTCCTTTCACGCTGGCAAAAATGCAAAGACAACACTGCCAACTGTGCTTTTCCTGACCAGGCCGTTGGTTTTGATTGATGCCTTGTCTTTGGCATGTCTGGAGGGAGGAAGCTCTCTCAGTAGGTTTGCTTTCCTCCTGCTGTGGCTGAGCTCCCTAACCAGCCAGTCCTTCTAGCTCAGACAGAGGTATTTGCTTTTTACAGAACCTCCCAGATCACCTACATTAAAGAGCAATATGTGGATCCTGTATTAAATCAAGCAACTGTCCTCTGTCTGTTTGATCAGGTTAGGCATGATACATAAACATGCTAGAAAATGGTTTCAGCAGTGGAGTTCAGGCTGTGACACCCACCTTGAGGCACTGGCAGTTTTAGGAGGTTGCATTCCAGACGTTAAGGCTCTTGTGGTGAAAATGATGGACACTGCATCGCAGAAAGAGCAAAAAGCTCAGTAAAAAGAATCTGTCATGCGATTGCATGCTCTGATGATCACAGCTTGTCATACCACACTACAGGGTAGAAGCTTAAGAGATTGAAAAGAAAGTGTATTTTTGTGAAGTATGGATAACACTCTTAATTTTCACTTGCTGAATTTTCTCCTTGCTGGCTTCTTTTAGAGCATCCATAACTCAGATTTACTTGACAGCACTACAGAAACAGACATGGTTGATATCTTGGGAATCAAAGACATGATGATTTTTTTTTTTTAAGGGCTGTCTAGCCTGTTTTATCCTTCCCAGCCTAATGGAGGTTTGTTTGGTACAGGACATCCTCTGATGATAATAACTTTCATCATTTATGAGCAAAGTTTATTCTTTAGTGAACTAAAAATGTTCCTCCTAAGGAGATTTCCCCCATTTTCTTTTGGGCCAATTTGTATAGCCTGAGATCTGAGTTTAGATTTCCGTTGTGCTTTTTCTTCCCTCTTCTTTTTTTTTTTTTTTTTTTTCCCATCTGAAGAGGTTTCCTCTGCTGCAAACCTTCAGCAACTGCTCAGACCATTTACAAGAAGCACTTTCACAGGCAGTAGCTCTACAAAAGAGAGGAAAAATCGAAGTGACTACCTATAATAATGAAGTTAAATGCAGTTTTAAGTGTTTGTGAACTGCAACTGACTGAAAGGGTGCCAAATATTTTACAAATATATACAAAAAGACAGGCCCCTGCTCTAATCAGCTTGTAAATGAAAAGAAAAGTACATTGGCAAGAGCAGAAGAGATGATATGGCATGCTTTAAATAGTTTATAGGGAGCTGGAGAATTGTTGTTTATTTGGTGATGTTGGGAAAATATTTAATGTGTTTTGGTTAAGCCCTTTATAGAAATGCTTCTCCTCCCCCAGTTTTCTTTTCCAATGACTGTTTCAGAGATTAAAACCAGCAAGTTTCGAGTAGATGGAAAACGGAGAAACCTATTTCGAAATTGACAAAACCGCGAGTAAATCTTTATAGATACTTTTTATGTGAGTCAGGCTTTCTAAAGTAATTATGGTAATATAAGAAAGGATCGTCGCTTCGCCGCCCCTGCGGACGGCGAGCCAGGGTCGCAGCTGGTGTAAATTGAGATACCGCCTATCTGGCGTGCCTGCCTGGGGAGGAGGTGGCCGTGGCCCCTCTTGGCGGATTCCGGGGCCGTCCCGGAGCTGCGCCGGGCGGCAGCGGCGGCTCCCGGGACTCGCGGCTCTCGGGGCTCCCGCACCTCCGCTGCTGCCCCGGCGCTCGCATAATAATAATATAACCGAGTCATTTTAGCGTTTAAATGTTTTCTATACCAAGCCTACAATTTATTGAAAAATAGGCCAACATACAAAAAAGCCCAAACCACTGTATTTTTAGATTTAACTTGCAGCTGCCGGGGTCAGATGCAAAGTGGGGTGCAACTGCATTTTCGAGGGCACAGGACTGGGGCAAGCTCCCGGTGTTGGTTTGGAAAGCTCAGACAGGTAAATTAATATTTCCTTTAACGTCGTCTTCCCAGGATCTGGAAGGTGACTCTGGCATCTGGAAGGATTTTTGCCTATTTCCCTGCTGTTTCGTGTTGTTGGTGATATCTCCGCAGATAAGTGACTTCAGTGCATCCGGAGTTTGCGTTCAAAGCAGAGACTAATTGTGGGGAACTTTTCAGAATAAACACATTTCTCTTTCGAAGTAATGTGTTTGTAAGTAAAAAATATATTAAAAGGAGGTTAAAGTGGATAATTTGTTTAGTTTTGGTTTGTGGGGGTTTTTTTAGCTTTTACTACTGAAAACTCTGGAATTTCGTTTGAAAATAAAACCATCCTCGGAGGGAGGCACGGTACAATATTTCGGCCTGCAACCATAACAAATACCCCCGAAGCCTTGCTCTTATCTTCTAAAAGCATAGAAAAAAAATATTAAAAAATAACGAGATAATTTTGAAACTCGTGTTCCTCATTTGGAGATGACCCAGAAAACTGCGCACCTTCTGAAGCGGAGGCTTTAAAGTCTTGGGTCAGTTTTAAGGGCTACTGCAAACCTCGGCAGAAGTATTTGCAGCCGAACACAAATTTCCAGGCTTAAATTGCCTTCTTCCTGTCCCGGGATGCCAGGGCTTTGCACAGCTGAAATTGCACAGCGCTTTTCCCCGGATTCTCTTACTTATTCCAGCGCTCAGAGCTCGCTGCCCCGGGCACCCTTTTGCTGTTCTGGGTCATCCTGCGCTGCGCTCGGCAGCCCCTTCCCAGGGGCGGCTTGAGCCCTGCTCCCGGCTCCGCTTTGGCGGGATGGTTTCACGGGAAATCCTAGTTCGTGGATTCCCTGCTCGCCCCGAGCAGAGCCAGAGGTATGTCTCATCCTTCCCCACGCGTTACCACAGCGGCTCCGTGCCCTACAGCGCCCGCCCGAGTGAGCCGGGACTGGCAGGGGTGGCTGCCCCTCTTGTCTTGAGGCGTTTCAAGGGCACAGAGACGGGGGGAGTGGAGAATTCCGCCGGAGACAGCGCTGTCCGCGGGCTGCATCGGGGTCCAGGCCGAGTGCTTCCCCTCCGTGCGGGGCTCCGCCGAACACGAGCTCCGGGACTCGCCGCCGGGTCACCGGGGCCGCTCCCGCCGCCCCTCGGGCCCTGACTGGGGCGGTCGGGGCGTGCAAGTGGCTCCTCACGGACACCGGGAGAAGCTGGAGAGGGTTCCCAAGGGCGGGCAGCCCTGCTGGGAGAGCGGGCTGCCCGTGCGCCCGGAGTGTCCCTGATCCGGCTGCCCGGGCCGCTCGTACCCGGCCCGCCGGTATCCCCGAGGGCGGCTGGCGGGTCCCCGGCGCTCGGCCACTCCTGCGGCGGGATTTATGCCTCGATCCCGAAGCCACGCTGCTGCCCGCAGCCCCGGCACCTCCCGACCCGGCACCTCGGGTGTCCGCAGGTGGGTGCCGGCTCCCCCGCCGCGCCGGGCCCCTCACCAGCAGATGGTGCTGCGGCCGCCCCATCCCCGGGGCTGCGGGGCCCCGGCGGACCGCACCTGGCCCGGCTCAGCCCTCCCGCCGTCCGCCCTCCGTCGCCGGGCCGGCAGCGGCACCGGGGCCCCGCGTCCCGCATGGCCTGGGCGAGGCGGGAACAGGGGCGGGCCACGGCGGCCGAGAGGCCAGGTACGGGCGGTACGGGTCCCGGAGGGAGCGGACTGCTTGTGGGGGAGTTCGGGGCTCGCCCGAGAAGCGGCTGCTGACGGAGAGGATGTCCGATTCGGATGGACATTCCTTGAAGCTCCCGGGATTGTCGGCTGCCGCCACCGATCTCCGGCCCGGTGCCACGACCTTGCCCAGAGCTGGCAACCGCAGCCGCCTGCACTTCTGCAGTGCGCCGAGCCCTGCAGTCCTGCCCGGTCCGTCCTGGAGGGAGCGACGGAGGGCTGGCCCCGGCACGGGGGTCCTCGTCGGGCCATCCAGCCGTGCTGTCCTTTCCCTCCCCGCTGCGGACGTTTCCACACCAGGCATTGCCGCTACCGCCCCTCTTCTTTCCCTGCCGCTGGTGGGACACCGATGGGCCCGGAGGCAGGCGGGAAAAGGAGACCGGCGGCTCGATTCCCCGTGCCCCGGTTCCCCGAGGTGCACGATGGCCGTCGTGCGAGGACCGGCCGAGTCCCAGTTTCGGGCAGGGCGCACCGAGCGCGCCGCGCCGGGGCCCCGGGGTGCCGGCGGCCCCCAGCCCCGCACGCCCGTCGGGTCCCGCGGAGCCTCCAGCGCTCGGCCCCGAGGGCCTCGCCCAGCGTCGCGGGTCCGGGCGCAGTTTGGAGGTAACTCTTCCCTCAGGTAGTGTTTGGGTTTTTTTTTTCCGGGGTGATTACCACCCCCCACACCCCCCCTCCCCAACCAGAGCCGTCCTCGCTGCCTTACCGTCTCTGTCGTTCTGTACCGGCGACCATCTCGAACCGCGCTGGCCGGTCTCCGCGCGCCGGTCCCCGTCCCGAGCTCTCCGGTGTCTCGGTGTCCCGACTCCGTCCCGGTTTTGCGTGCGGGAGCCGAAAACGTCCGCTGGAGCCGGCGCAAAGCGAAATCTCGGTGCTGGCGGGGCTGCGGCAGGGCGGCGGGCCCCGAGCCGAGGGGGTTAAACCAGGAGCCTCCCCTTACCTTCAAAAAGTTAAAAATGTCTGGAGCCTGCATCTCTTAAAGGGGCGGTGCTGGCTGCAAGGAGTCTTGGCACCAGCTGCGAGAAAGGCTGGTCAGGGGCGTGAGTTCCCCTCCACCAACACCAAAACATTGCAAAAAAAGGCAGAGCGCCCCACACTTTAGATAAGGACAATTAGCCACCAGTGAGCCCCTGCAGACAGCGAGTTAATTAGGGGTTCCCTGCTCTCCGGCATGCCCTGTCCCAGCTCCTGCCCCCCAGGGCTCTTAGCCCTGATGGCACCTGGGCTGGCCCTCATGGCCACCTTCTCGCTGCCTTCCCAGGCTGGGGACAGGAGAGCACTGCCGGTGGAGAAACCTCCAGGTGTGAAGGGAAGAACTCTCATTCTCCTTGATGTCAACACCAAGAGCCCTGTCAGGATAATCAGTGAGAATTTCCTCTCCCTGCAGCTGGACCCCTCCATCATTCATGATGGCTGGCTCGATTTCTTAAGGTAAGGCAGGAGCCCCCCGGCGCCCTCCCCACGCCGCCCGCGGGGCGCCCCGGCGGCCCCGCCGCCCAGCCCTGCCGGGCTCCGCGCTGCTGGCGGCGCTTGTTGTGACGGAGGGAGCGAGGCCATGGTTTCCATTAAGATGCACATGTTTGCAATGGAGAAAGCATTTCGGAGACTTATCAGTTATGACTGCAAAAATGTCGTGCTCCCCTCGCTCCAGCAACCGCTCCTCTGCAAAAAGCACAACACGGGGCCGAGGCAGCACAGGGTGGGGGGAAAAAAAATCAAAATGGAACAAAAAACAGCAGCAGGAACGGGGCCGCCTGCCGAGCCGAGCCGAGCCTTCCCCGGGTCCCGACGGGCAGAGAGCGGGTGTCGGCCAGGTCTTCTGAGCCCTCCGCTCCCCGGACTTCCAGCCCTGCGCGGGGGCAGAGCCGGGCTGCAGCTGCGCTGGGTCCCACCGGCGGTGCGGAGCGGCCGCGGCCTGGAGGCGCCGGGACGGCCAGAAAGCCTTCTGCCCGCTGGGTGAGTCGGGGAGGGAGAGCGGGTCTCCTCCGCACGCCCGCTCCGAGGGTTCTTTCGGCAGCCGGGCGTGGATGCGGGAAGGCGCGAGAGAAGCGGAGCCGGGACGGTTCCCGCTTTTCTCCCCTCCCCGCTCCTCTCCCTCCCGCCGGCTCGGCCCATGGCGCGGTCCCGGGTGGCGCTGAGCGCCTCTGCCTCCTGGACGCCGCTGCACTTGTCCGGAGGGCGCCGGCAGGACGGGGGGGAGCCGGGCCCTCCGGCCTCCGGGCCGCCACCGGCGGGCGGGGCGGCTCCCCGCTCCGGGCCGCGCCGCTCGGCCCGCGCAGAGCCCCGCAGCGCTGCTCCCGCACCGCACTGCCCCGGGCGGGGCAGCGGCGGGTCCCCGAGCCCCGTGGTCCCCGGTCGCTGGCGGTACTGGGGAAGCGAGGGCCCGGCCCGCGGCTTCCTCAGCCCTCTCTCCTCTCCCCAGCTCCCGGCGGCTGGTGACCCTGGCGCGGGGCCTGGCCCCCGCCTTCCTGCGCTTCGCGGGCAAGAGGACGGACTTTCTGCAGTTCCACAACGTGAAGAACCCGGCCAAGAGCCGCGGCGGGCCCGGCCCCGACTACTACCTCAAGAACTACGAGGACGGTGAGCCCCGGGGCCGGGGCGGGGGGCGGGCGCTGCAGCGGGGGCTGCGGGAGCCGGGCGGTCCCGCTCCGCCTGCCCCGCACTCTCCCCGCGCCCGGCGGGGCCGTGTCGCGCCCGGGCACGGTGCCGCCGGGTACCGGGCAGGGGAGAATTCCCGTAGCCTTTCTTTCCCGAGAGAGGGGAGCCGAGGAGCTCGTAAGAGCTCGCTCCCCCCATTGCCGGTGCATTCGGCGGCTGCCGGCCCCCGGGAACAAAAGACCAGCACTGGGGAGCGGGACTTTTCGTATTCGCCCGCCCCACTGCGTCCTCCGTCTCCCTTTGCCCCCGAGCCCCGGGCAGGCAGCACCGGCCGCCGAGGAGACTTTGCAGCGGCTCCGGGCGGGGGCATCGGAGCCCCGGGATGCCGCGTCCCGCGCTTCTTCCGCGGCTCTCGGGAGCCCTGCCTTTCCTCCCGGACCTCGCCTTGTGCGCGTTTCTGCGCCCGCCGCAGCCCTTTGGGCTCCCCGCTGTCCCTCCGGGCTTGGTGACCGTCGGTCCCCGCGTGCTGGTGCCCGGCCGGGGCTGCTCCCCCTCCGAACCGCTCGGCCAGCCGAGCTCTTTCCAGCCACCGCCTTTCCGCTGCTCCCCTTTCGCCGTCTGCCCTTCTCCCCATCGGACCTCGGTACACAAAAGGCTTTCACCTTTCGCGGCCCATAATTCACACAAAGAAACTGAGTAGAAAATTTAGAGCCATATCTCCGTCCTAAGGCATTTCTATTAAGAAGCAGAATACGATGTCCACATGCAAGAATGTATTGATTTTTCTCTCTTGCTTAGTTTGTTTCTTTTTTTAAAGAAACGAGCTTTTTTTTTTTTTTTTTTCCATACTCGACAACTTACAAAAATTAGCAAAAGATTTTTCCATAAGTAATTTTGAAGGCCAATTAATGCCAGACAGATCCCACTGGGCAGGTCTGTGGAACAGAGGAAATTTTACAGAGATCTAGTCAGCAGCAGTCCAGAATGGAAAAAGCAGATGCATTTGCCAGTTTTTTAGTGGCTCTCACTCCTGCTGTTTCCCTACATAACCTCTCTGAGATGAATGTCCTTCTATTCCCACACGCAGGCAGGTGGGTAAGATTTTGTGCTCCGTCTTTCACTTGCTCTCTTAGCTGGGGCAATCCCGATGTTATTCCTTGTTTTTCTTCTTGAAACAAATCTCAGTCGAAGGGTTTGTTGTAAGCTTTGCCTGCTGAGATGCACTTCAGGAAAAAATGCTGACCAAACTTGCCACAGACACCTTGTACAGTGGAAATTAAGTGTGGTGCATAAAACTGTGGATGGGGCTCATACAAAACATTTGTAAGAATAAATTTCCCCACCTTTCATATTTCAACAACTTGCAGGAGAGAACTTACAGTTGCTTATTAAATGTCTTCACAACAGCTTTCATGTTAAGGAAGGACTGAAATATTTTGGCTTTTTTTTTTTCAGTTTTCCTCATGGCAATAAAATTGATATGTAGCAGTCTTCAAAATGAAGCTTTTCATAGAAGTTGTAACCACAGGTCTTAACTTTTCATCACTTAAATATGGAACAGGACCATTGTGAATGTGGGTGAAGGAAGGGGAAGACACATGTGGTGTGTATCAAGCATTGGTGTAAATCAGAAAGGTGTGGTAAAAGGGATTTCCTGCCTGGAAGCAAAGCTCTCATATTTGTTCTTAAGATCTGTGTGCAAACTCCAGGGTCAGGGAGTTTCACCCTATTTGGATGAGGGCTAGAGCTGCTAGTAGCTCACATCCTTTTGTGCTGAGGCTGCACTAAGTACTTCACTAGAGGGATCCAGTTCTCCAAAATGAAATCCTGATGCCACCGCAGCTCTTTGCCCTGCTGTCCTGAGTATGAGCAGCCACCTTCTCCATTTGGAACCCTCGTTCCATTTTTGTTCCCTCATCTGTGGCTCGCCCAGGACCTGCTTGGAGTCAGGACATGCAGTTTGCTCTTGCTGCTGAGGACTTACAGCTTCAACAGGCAGCACAGAAAACTGATGGCAATCAGCACCTGAGCGTGGGGGAAGCCAACAAGCATCCTGCTAAGTACCCTTCCTTGTCCCCAAGCTATCTGGGGTGGTTGAAGTAATTTTCTATGTCCATGGGCTTTTATATGTCCAGTACCTATTTTCTGAGATTTCTTATAATGGCATGGGAGTGGGGAAGATGTTGGGGGACCTGATAAGTTAAAATAGTCAGAAAACATTTAACAGAGAAATAAATGAATTTTAAGGTCTTATGCAGCACCCTAGCGAGTTTTTAGTGACGTGACAAGTGACTGGTTGTTTTCTGCTTTGAGTGTTTGTCTTTTTGCCCTTCTGCCTGTGGGTGCACACAGACTCAGATCTGTGCCCAAAGAGTCTGGGCTCTCTTTGCAGCATCCACAGGTGCCCCCATGCCTTGTGTTCTCCTGTGGCCTTGCACAGAGAGGGAGGAAAGGGCACTTCTTATGTTCCTCTAAGCTGCAGCAACTCACAGAGTGCAGGACTGAGAGGTGAAGGGCTCGTGTGCAAAATTGCTCAGAGAACTGCAGTTACAAGTGAGTGACTGTGAGTGGTGTTCACATCACAGGCAGCTGCACCCCACTGTGTGCTCACAGGCCACACCAGCGTGGCCCTCTCAGGCATTCAGATGGGAGGCAGCAACAGCAACAGGACTGCTTTGTATCATCCTTCATGGGCCCTGTGACCATGCTTGCTAGAGCTGGAATGAATCTCTGTACAGGGATCTTCATCCTGTAAATCCCCCTCTGCCACCCTGCTGCTCTTCTGACCAAGTATTCCTCACCGTTCACTTGGATGGTTTTTTTTTGTCTCTGTGGTGCTCTGCCTTCTGACTATCAGACCTCCTCAGAGATTAACCTTACTCTTCCCCTGAATTTAAAATTGTATTTTATTCCCTTTCAAATGGTCAAAACTATGCACACCTTCACCTTCTGGAAATTGCTTTTACCTAGGCCTGCCTTTGGGCTCACCAACAGGTTTTTTCCCACTTCTTTCTTTCATGGAGAGTCTGGGTACTCTCCGAGGGTAATAGTAGTTGTTTGCCACTTGTATCTAAAATGTACTTAGTTTTCCTGAAATAAGGTGACTCCTTTAGGTTTCAGGGTAACTCATTTCTTGTTCAGATTGCTCCTGGAAACACAGACCTGGAAGTATTGTGTGTTACCAGGGGTGTATGATACCTTTCCTTTGTATGTGTGAACAGCCTCACCCCAGTCTAAACTGGCCATGTTTGGGCAGCAAAGGTAACAAAGTGCATGCTCTGTGGTTACTGTCTGGGATGCCCATGAGGAGGGTGCATGTGGCACATGCAATTTCATCACTTGCTGGCAGATTTGCCAGCACCTGACAGGGCAACTCCTGAAAGTGGATGCCTGTGGTAGATGCTCCCAGTGAGCCACAGGGTGTGCAGTCTCTGTTATGGTAGCATGGCTCTAGGTACCTCCTGGACTTTGCTAAATATTAGGTCATCCAATGTGTTATATTAGCACCCGCCTATGATGCATGCCAGGTGGCTTCCATCCCAAGCAGCCCCAACTTTGGATGGTCAGTCCTGGAGCCCACCCTATTTGGATAAGGCATTGACCAGCCTGAGGTGTGTTAGAAACCCACTTTGATGTATGTCCTGTGGTACCAGGAGGTGGGGCTGTGCCAGAGACTTTTTGGCATTTTATGATCAAGAGGTGTAACATTTTTAGCCTGAGAGACTTTTCCCTCCCTTAAATGGCGTTTCTCTGTATGTGCCCTGCTGAGTTCATTTTTCTTCCCCAGCTGTGCTCAGGGTTGTGTTTTGTTATCTGGAGATATGTTTCTCTGCACATGTCTGATTCCAGGGCAGGTACCAAAATGTAAGGTTTCATGCTCAGTCTATGTAGTAGGCCCGCTTCTCCTTTTGCTGTTGGGTTTTTCCTAACAAGCAATCTGTTCAGCCTGTCCTTTCAACTGCCTTACATGTGCCAGGGACTAGTTGGGCCTGAGGAATGGGACAACAAGAAACACTGGTCTCCAGGAAAACAGGCTTGAGCAGCTCCTCTCTGGAGGAAAGGCTTGGGCTATTGTTGGTACAAAACCTCTTCTGAAGCTGAGTTTGTTAAAACCTGACTTGCCTGCTGTCCTGGAGCCTGGTGTTGGAGTGCTACATGCGTGTGGAGCCCTGGTCTTGTTTCAGCAAGAGATGCTGCAGGTGCTGTCTCAGTGCCTGAACCCAGAGCCCGTTTTGGAAGCTCCTTGCTGGTGCTCCAGTATGAGTTTAGTGAGCTGATGTGGAGCTCCTCATCTGCAGGGTGATCCTCAGCTGCCTCATACCCTAAAGCCACAGAGCCAGCTTTGGACAAGCTGGGTGGCACAGACATTGCTACAGCTCCCCCTGTGCAGATGTGCTGCCGAGGAAGAGTCCAGTGGAAAAAGAGGAGTTACAGCTGGGGTCCTCAAAGGTGTGCTGGCCCAAGTGCACAGCTTCTCACTCCTGTACCCAAGCTTTTGTAGACTTTTGTAGCCTTATCATGGCTGAGAAGAGACCAAAGGACACTTTGTGTGTCCCTGTGTGGGCCATGGCAGAGAGAGGGGAAGGGGACTACATTTGCGTGCTATAGGTAGTGCATCAAAGAAATTTCTCAGCTGAAGTGTGTATGGACAACACATTTCAAAAATACTCTTTTAATTGCTGGTAAGTTTCTTCCTTCTATTTTATCACTTTTTTTATTTTTATTTTTTTTAAGGGGATACCAGGCATCTGGAGAAATGTCCAATTACAACAAAGAAAATTACAAAGTCATGTTTCTTTAACCTTCCATACTAGTCAGGGGATTTTGCAGTATAGTGTGGGAAATTTCACATCATGCTGTGTAATGCTGGCATTCTGTGTGTTCTTTCAGTGTTGGATCCATTCCTTCAGGCATCCTCAGGTACCCAACACTGCATCTAAGCCTCAAAATATGTCTGGCAGTGGGAACATATTTTCACTTTT